ATATGCCATGGACAAATGTATCAGAAAAAGATTATGTGAATTTATGAAAAGAAGGTTCACCTGAGAGAATTCCAAGAGGGTGGTCTCGTGCTTAAGAATATTTTGCCTATTCATAAGGACTTATGTGGGAATTGGATGCCTAATTGGGAAAAGTCATACGTTGTCAAAAAGGCCTTTTTTTAGAGGAGCATTGATCTTGGCAAAAATAGATGGAAATTTGTTGAAGAATCTGATAAACCCAGACTCTGTTAAGAAATATTACGCTAAAAAGATAAGAAAGAAAAAAATGAAAAATAAAAGAAAAAAGAAGAAGAAAATTGAGAATGGAAAAGGTGTGTTCAAGTTAAAAAGTCATAAAGTATGTCTTGAAACCAAAGAAAGGATTTGAGCAGAAAACCTGAAAAGGCGGCTCAAATGTGTTTTGATATTAGGCATCAGACAAATAAACCATCTCGAAATGCCCGGTGGTTCAAGAGAAGCTTCACATCTACAAACGTCTTCTTAACTTTGAGATCTCTCAGACAGAGGCCCACCTTAGTGCTCTAAATTGTATCAAAGTGATTGGTTCAAGAACACTCGTGCTAGAGATCCTTAGGGCATCTGTGTTTTATTTCTAGATTTCTTCTCATATTTTGTTGATTTTCATGACTTTGTAAATTTCCAGATTTTATCAATTCAAATTTCAGAGTCATTCATTTTTTAGTATCTTATTATTAGTCTAGCATAACCTAAATTAAAACAAAAAATTTATTGGTATTACTTTGAGTTGACCTTTAAGTGCGGGGAATCCAAAGCAGACCATCGTGACGACACTTATGGATAGAATTGTATGGCAGTATGTGACATAATAGCCTGAATTTTAGAAGGGGTGATAAATTGATGACGATTCCGTGCATTTCAAATCATATCTCTAGTCAGACCTTATAAGAAACTCAAAGGAGGTTAATCCCAAGTTGAGAAATGAAATGAGATAGAGATTACAATTCAAGCAAAGTCTCTAGCAAAGATGATGAAGTGAGAATAAGACAATGACGCTTGTAATACTAAATTGACATCATTCATAAATGTTTAGGAATTTGCAAAAATAGGTGCATACACATCAATTTTTGTCAATTGTTGAATGATTGACAGGAAATTTGACAAAGATTCGATTCATATTTAAAGTGAATGGTGAACCTAAACAAAGAATTCAAGTTTTTGAAGAGAATAGGTTCATAATAAGGAGAACCCATTCAACTGTTACTCGATTCCATTACAAAAGAAGTTGGATCAATATTCCCTAGAGAAAAAATTCATAACGAGAAGAACTTGTTGCTCGGTTCCATCACAGAAGGAGTTTGATTAACATTTCCCAGAGAAAAAAGTTCATAATGAGAAGAACTTTTTGCTCGATTCCATCACAGAAGGATTTGGATCAACATTTCCCAGAGAAGAAGTTCATAATGAGAAGAACTTGTTTCTCGATTCCATAACAGAAGAAGTTGGATTAACATTTCCAGAGAAGAAGTTCATAATGAGAAGAACTTGTTGCTCGATTCCATCTCAAAAAGAGTTTGATAAAAATTTCTTGGAGAATAAGTTTATAATAAGAAGAACTTGTAGCTAGATTCCATCATAGAAAGAGTTGGATCAGAATTTACCAGAGAAAAAGTTCATAATGAGAAGAGTTTGTTGCTCGATTCCATCACAAAAGGAGTTGGATCAACATTTCCCAGAGAAAAAGTTCATAATGAGAAGAACTTGTTGCTCAATTCCATTGTAGGAGTCAGTTCAACATTTTCAGCGGAAGAGTTCATAATGAGAAGAACTTAATAATGACGCCAGAAAATGGTGCTTATATATTTGCTTTATTCCAGTTCCACCGCAAAGAGTAAAGAGGGGCAACTGTAATCACATTTTTTTGTTATTTCTTATTATTTGTTATTTATTATTATTATTATTATTTATTATTATCATTAAGTAAAAAAAATCCAAAAATATAATTTTTATTGAATAAAATTTTTACAAGCCCAAATGAAAGTCAAATAGGGCCCACACTGAAATGAAAATGAACTAGGGTTTTCACCTTTTGGTTCAGTGCCGCCTCACTCTCAACCGTTGGATCAGGATCTGATCAAATTGTCTAGATTAACCCTAATTAGGGTTTCTCAAACCTTAATATAAGCCACTCGCACCGTCTTGCTCTCTTTCGTTAGATCTAGAGATGACCTGACGGTCCTAAATCTATGATGATTAGGGTTTTACGTTAAACTCGTCTGCCAAGCTTATCGTCGCCTCCACGCGTCGAATCACATCTACTTGCCCTGTCAAAGGACTACTCGTGATTCCGTGACTCTCGAAGACTGTAACTGCCATCGAGAAATCAGTCGTTCACCACAAAGAATGACGAAATGGCTATGAGGTAAAAATTTTACCCCGTACTTTGATGAAATCACAGTCGTCTATACCTAATTTTGTCCCCGTCGTATCCCTCTGCTCGAACAAACCACAGAGTCAGAAAAAAGCAACAAAAAACAAAAAGAGAAATCCTATACTCTTTTTCCATTCGCATGCAACAACCAAAATCAAGCCAAAAATCAAGGCTTCTATATAACAAACAACAACACAGTAGGTAAAGGGAGAGCAACGAGAGAGATATTTTGAAAAAACCAACACTCGAAAAAAGAGAAAAAAAGAGATTTTGAAGGAGGGAGAGAGGAGAATAATGAACAAAACAAAGAGAGAAGAAAATGAACAACCAAAGGAACTCACTTTTGTTCACCGGAAAACTCAAGCGACTATTGTTTTTCGAATGTAATCAGATCTTGGATGGTGGGGGTATTTCTAGGTTGAGTGGTGTTTTTTTTAGTTTAGGGGAGATTGAGAATTGTTTTGGGTTGAGTTTCTAGAAATTCTGTCACCGTTTGAGATAGTGAAGTGCTCCGATGAGCGGTGGCCGTTGGATGTCGGCCTCTCTCGGTGAGAGGGCAGAGAAAAAGTTTTTCCCATTTGGGAAAGAAAAATAAGAGAAAACAAATGAATGGCTTGGGCCATTTTTGGCCTTGTTTATATATATATATATATATCCATGCCGAAACGGTGTCGTTTAGGGGATATGAGACGCATATTTTAGCGCTTAGGATAATCATTTCCACTGCCACCGTAGCTTTGTAACTTTACATTTTAGTCACCAACTGCAATATTTTAATCACTTTATTTCGATCACTAAATTTTATTCCATTTATATTCCAGTTATTCATGTTTTGTATGTTTTGGGTGAGTATTTAATTTGACCCTTAATTTTTAGGTTTAATACGCTTTAGTCCTTAATTTATCATGATTTAACAAATATGTAATATTCATGTTTTAGACCCACATATTTGCAATGTATTTATTCTGATCATTAATTAGATGATTATTACATAAAATAAAATGAAATTATTGTCAATAGGTCCCTGTAGATCTAACCTTATCCTGATTTTGTCTATTAATTTTATTTATTTAACGTTCGTGCTTATCTTAATCAAATACTAGTATGACCTAGGCACTCTAAGTAGTTTGCTGAAATAATTTTTATTAAATAATAACCATGTTCAATAATATTTTTCACATGCACCCGAGTCTATTTTCAAGAACAAATTTCGTAGAGTGGGCGTGGAAAGTGCAACCTATCAAGGTAGTACGATTCAATACGACGTTAGAATGAAAACGAACTTGGAAATAATCAAATGCCTTAAATAAAATAAAACGTTGGTGAAATGATAATTATTTTACGATAACCATGCATTTATTTTTTTTATATGTTGCTTCATTTTTTTATTTTATACATGATTAATATGAGATCCTAAATAAATAAATAAGGAATATTCCCGTATAGAGAATAGATATATGGGATAGCCTTCCTGTTGGAGGACGTGCAAATCTCTTGATCTCTTCTCAAAATATAGAATATTCTTTTTTAGTTTGAAACTAATTAATAAGCGATAAGATATATCCTTAGATAACCCTTGATTTCTAGCACTATTTAATTCTACTACCACGATGATGTATAAGTGATTAGGTAACAATTTTGGGCATTGTGGGGCGCTTATACTTCCCTACGTATAATCGACTTCCGATCCCTTAAAAATGAATTTATGGTAAACACATATAAATTTTGTTTTAAATATTATTTTTATATTTATTTAAATTATTTTTAAGACGTTTTAGCTACTTGACCTACCTAACCCAAAGGTCTATGACGACTCCGATTTTAAAAGTTATTTGTTTTTCAAAATAAATATTTTTCCTTAAAAATAAAAATCATTTTTATTTTGAAAAAATGTTACGAAAACCTTTCACCTGAAAACTTATTCGAGCTAGGTTTATAATTATTGTCCGACCCTAAACATGACCCATCTTTTAAGATAAAACACGTTCCCTACTCGACCCGACACAAATATATATATATATATATATATATATATATATATATATATATATATATATATGTATGTATGTATGTATAATTTTTAATTTTACTTGATAAAATGAGGATCAAATTGAAAAAACGATATAGAAATGAGTATTATTGCAATTATCTCTAAATAAATGAGGCATAATTTTATTATTTTTTTGAGCGGAGTTAGATTAAGTATTTTTCATTCTAAACACAAACTTGATCCGACCCAAACTCATAATCAAAAAGTTTAACCCGACTCAAATCCAATATTTTCTTTAAATATATGACCCAATAAAGTCGGGTTGGGTTATAATTTATCATGTTGGAGTTCTGTGTCTATCCCTGGAAGGGTTAAAACAATATTAAAGTATAGAATAAACTTCAACGTTATAAGCGGCTGTAGCTCAGTGGGTAGAGCGTCTATTTTCTAAGCAGAGGGTCGTAAGTTCGGTTCTACCTGGATCGTTTTTTTTTTGTTTTTTTGTTTTAATAATTTTTCCCTTCCCACAATTCCACTACATGCATTAGACTGAAAATTCTAAATTAATTAAAACAAGTAAAAAAATATTCAGATAATGAAGAGATTTCCAGTTTCCCAAATCTTCAATTTCACCACCAATTTTGATTACAACTCTGATAGCTACATTCACTTATCCATTACTTCCATTGCATACACTCAGACTATATATATATATATATATTCAAATTATTACAAATTAAAATAATCCTTTAAAACCAAAAAAAAAAAAACCAAACAAATCCTTTGATGATCATCTGCTGTTTATTACCTTCCTACTACCCCTCAAACTTTGATTCTCAAAGCTGTCTCGAAACCTTGTTTAGCACATCGGAAGATCGCTCGGAGGCGGTTCGATCGACTCATTCGGGCCTTTCCCGTCCTCCACCAAGAATGCCATCTTAAGTCCCCATGTTGTATGAACTTCTAAATGGCAATGGAAAAACCAGACCCCTAAACAGACACAGACAGTCACATGATGTTGGAACTTGGAACGTGTTTCATTCCTTGTTGTTAAAGCAAGTTATATACAGTTTATGAAGAAGACATTGCTTGCTATGGAATTATTGATTAGAACGGAAAAAATATAAGATGCAATGTCTTTTTCATCAATAAGATTTGATAATAATTACCTGGGTTATCTACTCTGAATCTGATTGCAGTCCACCCTGCAGTCGGTACGCTCACTGTGTTCCGTTCGACCGGATCGACCAGATTGAATTCCAATGGATCTTTTTCCGGATCGAAGTTTCCAATCCCTCTACCGACCACGAAGAAGTTGCATCCATGAAGATGTGTCGGATGGCTATCGGGTGCTATTATAGAGTTCCCCTGGATCACTAGTTGAACTGTTGAGTTATAGGCTAGTCTGTATACCTTGGTGCCATTGGTTGTTTGTAGATTGGACAGTGGAGCTTTGGTATAATCGAAAGGCATCAACGGCTTTCCCGGGAAATCATCGGTGAAAACCCCATTTATGCCGTAGTAATGTGCTTGAAGGAGAGCCGTGGTTGGCATAACGAAGGAGACGTTGTTAATATCCGCTACGGCTCGGCTACCATTGAAACATGTGGCACAAGGGTTGATCCCGACCCCGATGGTGAAAAGTAGGGAGTAATCAACGGTTAAAGGGACGTTGGCTGGATAGTCTTTCGAATTAAGGCTTCGAAGTGAATTAGAAAAGGTCGATGTCACCGGGGTTGCATTTACGGCAGGAATGCTGACCATGGTAGTCGGTGTAAAGGCAAGGTTGCGATTGTAGCTTATGTATCCAGTTCCTGTCACGTTATCGACTGCAACAATGGTGTCCATGAATGGCGATATAGCTATTAAGTACTTCCCGGTGCCCTGATCTGCTTTAAGAAGTGCAGTTGTGGTTTGTCCTGGACCGAGAAATAACGTATCGGTTTTAAAGGGTTTCGTGTACGCAGCATCGACTTCGACGACAATCAGATTGTGGTATGCGATCTTGAAGAACAGTTCATCGTTCACTGCCGCATTTACAACCCGAAGTAAATAGATCTTTCCTGTTTCGACATGTAAAGTATATGCATCTGCATTCACAAAAATTATGCAGCTTTGTTAAATGATTAACATTATATGATTATGATGCAATGGAACACGAGACAATATAGAATCCAATGCTAATTAGAGGTGGCAAACGGATGGTTCGGGTCGGGTCATTTTTGGTTGAGTAACTTTGGGTCTAGATTAAATTCGGTTTAATTTTGTTTGGATCTGGTTCTGGTTCGGATCTAGTTCGAGTGTACGGTGAATCAGATCAGGTCGGGTATCGGGTTGGTCAATTTTTGGGTCGAATGATTATTGGATCGGTTGTTTTCCGGTTCGGATCGATTGATTTTTGGGTTGGGTTAATACCAGATCGATTAGATTTCGGGTCGGGTCAATATAGATCGGTTAATTTTCGGTTTATGTTAATCTTTAGATCATGCCAATTCAGGTTGAATTGGTTAGAGTCTAGTCATAATCAAATATATATAGAATAATTGATATATACTCGTAAAAATATGTTTTCTTATTTGTTAATTTTATCATTTAAGTTTAATTTCAATTATCAATCGTTCAGTATTTTGAATTAAACCATCATTTAGAAATGAGAAATAGATAATTTGACATAAATACGATCCTATAATACGTGTTAGAATTTGTTATCAAAATTTTATATTAATCTCGTATGAAAATTTTATAATGAGAACTATATGATAAAGAAATAAAATTTTTATTTCCAATTATAAATTTAATATTTTTATTAAAATTTTAAAAATAATACATAACTTTATTTATTAAATTTTAGTCGTAACATAAATAAACTTTATATTATTTTTATTATAAATCTAATATTATTTCTTTTATTTAAGTTGTTTTCTATTATTTTTTGTTATAAATCTAATATTTTTATAACCAAAAAAATAAGTAAACTTTATTTATTATTGTTTTAAATGTCACAATTAAATTCTTACTTTTATATTTCTCTTAAACGTTTTATTATTTTATTATAAATTTAATATTTTTAATAAATTATCAATTTTATTTAAATTAATTTATTATTGAAAATAACTTTTATCAATTTCAATCTGCTCGGGTTGCTTTCGGATTGGGTTAAAATTTAGTTTGGATTTATTTCGGTTCATGTTGCTTTTGGTTCGGGTTAATTTCGGTTCGGGTTGATTTCGATTTCACTAAATTTTGGATCTGGTATGGGTTGGGTATCGGATCAAATTTGATTATCATGTTCGGGTTAATATTAAGTATTGAGTCGAGTAAATCGATTCGGATAATCGGGTTCGGATCAAATTTGCATCTAATTCTAATACCATCAGAAGAACAGCTAGGAACCGGTCCCGTATGGCCATTAATCGTGTGTGCATCCGATATATTCGGAGGCAAACCGGTTTGCGTTGCCTGGTTCACCACAGCTTCAGTATCTGCTTTCCACCATTCCCCTATAAATATCGGCATATTAGTCTCGCAAATACGTTCTACGCCCGTAAAAAAAAAGCTTCGAGATGCCCGAAAAGGTCGAAATAAACCTAATATGATGACTTTTTCCTTATCGGGTTTCGGAAACGGGTAAGGGACACCTTTCTTAGGCAAGATAACAATGGCACCATACATGGTTGATCTCAACCAGGAAATATGTGCATGCCAAAGAAGTGTCCCTCTTTGACCAGTTAATGTGAAGTTGTAAAGGAAGTTCTGGCCTGGTTGAATCGGACACTGTGTGATATATGCCGGTCCGTCGGACCAACAGGTTCGAAGCTGCCGGACTCCATGCCTGAGACATCAAGAAGTATGCTCTCAAAGCTACAATTTTCAGACTCACTTAAGTTGCATGGGATCTTTGCGATAAACTTGCTTACCAGTGGATCGTAACATTGTATTGAACATGATTGGTGACCCTCACGAGCACGTTGTCGTCCTCTCGAGCATAAAGAGTTGGCCCCGGAAACTTGCTGTTGACGGTCACAATCGTCTTGGTGGCGCAAAGCTTCGTTTCGTTTTTCAACACCACCTGAATCGGATGCAATACATTTAGTAGTTCATGTGACATAAGAATAATATCGTAGATAACATTTAGGCATGATGTATTCTTTAGTGGTACTATCCGATAGTCATACCGGAATCATATATCATTCTACCGACAGACCACTTGACTGTCAGCCTGAAATAGAACCGACAACATGACACACTACGGAATAAAAGTTCTTACATCGAAATGGTATTGCCGAATCCTACACTCAACCAATGCAGGAACCAAGACCGACATGAACAACAATGTCTGAACCCAAGAACCCATCATTTCTGCTCTCTCTTTCAGCTACTATGTTTAGAACAAACCAATGTCTGCAAAACACCATTTATAGCATTTTTTGCAGTAAAATACCATTGATGCAGTGTCATTTTAGCTGTTTAGGTGGATGATGAAGAGATGAAAGAAGCTGAGTGGTTTGTTTTTATTTGTGAAAATCAAAGGTTTCTTGGAGGTTACACAAAGTAGAAAATGCGATGACATGTTTTCAAAGGTTGCCATTGTCAACCGATTGATATCTCAATTGTGTCTGAAACTTACTTCCCATCTGCATAACATGCATATCTTGTTTCTCCAACTCTTCCTTCTTCACTACAGGTGTTTTTAGTTTCATGCTACTTTCTCCTACATTCAAGTCCCCAAGTTGTTCATATCTTTGATTCTCTACCACTTCCACATACAGTTTAATATTAGTTAATGTTATTAATTGCAAGGGCTCATTTATATTTGAGTTTGTAAAGTTTAAATTATAGCCTAAAAATTAAAATTAAAATGATGTTATTTTTATTTTTTCCTAAGTTTGATTGTTTATGATTTAATACTCAAATTTTTTTCCCAATTATTTATATTTCTTTGTTTTAAGTTTATTTTTACTAGATTTGAACATTATGTTTCTCAACCAAAATAAAATACAAGTGTAACTTCAATTCATCTTTTTTTATAACAAATATATTGTATTTTTCAATTTATTCTCTTAACTTTAAAATTTATTCAATTTGATCTTACGGTATAAGTTCTTTCTTTTCTTAGGAAATTAACTTTTATACTTTTATCAATATTTTTTTCCTCAAAATTCCTTATTTCAAAAAGTTGTATTATAAATATGTTATATTTTTTAGAAGAATTTAGTTTATTAAATACTATTAAAATTTATATATATTACGAAAACTCAATTTGACTCAATCTAATTCCATCCCTATCAAGAAGAATACAAATGTACGTGCACATGTGCATGAAACAGCCAAATGTGGTGGTGGGTAATTGTCTATATAATCCTTTTTGTAGTTGAGAAATGGCTTTCAAACGTGATGAATCAATAGCCTAGTCAGCTGGCTAGAAACTTTGAGAGAGAGAAAATTAAAAGATGTGGCTTTTTGGATTTATTATTAAATTACACCATAAATTATATCCTAATTTTCAGATTGGTCCTTGAAGTTTTTTGGGTCCAAAGTGCCACCTAAACTATTAATTTGTTCCTACCTTAATTGAAGTCATAAACTTTTGGGGCAAAATGAGAATAAAAAGAAGAAGAAGAAGAAGAATTTCAGGTATCACTTCTAACAAAAAAACGTTAAGGACCAAATTTAAGAATTGAGGTATAACTCAAGGACTAATTTACTGATAAATCTCTATTCTTCTTCTTTTTCAGTTTGTTGTAACAGCTCAACTTGCCTATTTATTTTTTCTTCAAATCTCGTATCTTTTTTAACTTGATTGAAGTTTTTTAATTAATTTCAAACCCCACATTTATCTCACTAATAAATTACAAAGATTCTTGTTTTAAAGGTGGTGAATTCATTTTGTAGGTTGAAATCCTTGGTCTTAAAGACAACTAGAATTGATAGTTTATCCATTGGTAATTTATGATAAGCCTATCATGAAGGATTAAATACACTGATAAGAATCGATAGTTTAATTTGATTTATTGATAAATTAATCTAGATTTATAATATAAGTCTATTATAAAAACGACACTCCCCATATAATTTTCATCATTCATAATATCGAAATTTGAACTCGTGTTACATAGAAATTCTGACATCTCCTCCGTCTGACAAATCGTAAACAATAAATGTTGAGATGGATTCACACTGCCTTTCCATTATCTTTTAATTTTTAAAGAATGTGTGCATTTGACATCCTAACAAAATGGACACTTTATGAACAACCATGAAGTTCAATTATGTGTTCATATATTTCCACTAGCACTTCAACTCATTGATGTTCTACTTAAAATCTATCCGAGGACTATATTAAATACGATCCTTCAAATATATTAAAAAGAATTTAATTATATTATATTGGACATGTATTTATATTAGATGGAGTGCATTGGGTTAGTTTTAAAATTTTCAGTCATTTCCAATTCAGATCCCTTGTTTCTGCAAGAGCAATTCTCATAGCTTTTTTCACCTTGTTTGAAGTTTTTTGAATTAATATCAAACCCCACATTTATCTGACCAAGATCCTTGTTTTAAAGGTGGGGAATTCATTTGTTTTGGTTGAGATCCTTGGCCTCAAAGACAACCCGACCATGATATTGACAGCTGATTAATTAATAGTTTTGGTAAGCATATCATGAAGGATTAAATACACCATCTTAGACCCCCAAAATGCTTTAAATAATGACTGTTCACTGTCTTTAAGAACGTTTGCACTTGACATCCTAACAAAATTGACCCTTTATGAACAATCATCAAGTTTTTTATTATATGTTCAGAGGGATGGATCGATAGCAGTATTGGGACGGTCGTATCTATGGAAATTTCAAATTTTCATATAATTTAGATATTTTTTTATACTTTATATTAATAATCTAATTTCACACCTTCTAAGTTTCTAATATAACTTCTTTAAGGTTCATACACTAGACATAAAATCTTACTTCTTATCATGAATATTCAAATATTTTCGCTAGCAATTCAAGCTTATCTTCCTCGTTGATGTTTTACTTCAAATCTATCGGTTGGTTGTGCCAAAAAAACAAAATCTTGTGAAATCGAATCCGAAAGTCGAATATCATAGTAATTCAAGCATTTCATTTCATTTCATTTCATCCGCTATTTCTGTAACTTTTATATGGGGATTGCTTAAGAGTTTTTGAGATAATTAAGGTTACAAGGAAAATAAGATGTTTGCAAAAGGGAAACAAGTGAAACATTATTGTTCAAGTAGTAGCTCCAACAGGGACCCCTGCACTGAGCCTCGATGATCCGTATAGGGTTTCTTCGAACCGGATAATTTCGTTCTTCGAACCGTATGCAACTTGAGTTCGATCGTCGTGGTTCGTGATCTCTTTGTCGAGCACCGATTGTTGACCGTCGCTGCTGTGACCACCCGCTTTCTCTATCAAGAACCCCAATGGAGCTACCTCAAATAACCGTCTCAGCTTGGCCTTGGCAGATGGTGAGGTCACATTTGTAAATATACCCTTCTCTTTTACAATGATCTGTAGGGGTAAAAATAGGAAAAATGAAAAACATATAGTAAATCATTTAAATTGGACAAAAGATTTAAAACACATACTGACCCTTGAACTTGATAAGTTTGATCAAATTAATCCATGAACTTTGTTAAATTTAATCAATTAAATCCTTGAATTTTTTATAACAACTTATAAGTTCAGGAGACAATTTCACCCAAAAACGTTTAAAGAACAATTTAACTAAACTTGTCAAATTTATGAGCCAATATGACCACATCTATCTAATTCAGAGGCTATTTTGTGTTTTAAGCCTTGGAAAAAATATAGTTTAGGCTTAAGAGGTATTTTAGCCTTCATATTTGACTCAAATTATTAATGTTGTGCATCCATAAAAAATGCATTAAACTGGGTTCTTGAACTCTTGATTTACATCAATGTTATAAAAAAAAATGCTCACGTGGTAGTCCACATATGAATGATGATGTCATAGAGAAATTTAATTGATTTTTTAAAAAAAATCTGAGAGAAAAAAAATTAAACCCTTAAACTTTCAACATATTAAATTAAACGCATCTATCACATCATCATTTACATGTAGATCGTTATGTTAACATAATGAACTGTCACTTTAACATTGTGAATAATAATACCAGTAAAATTAATTATCACGTCAATACTATAATGATCAATGACAATTTTCGCTGGTCAAAAGATAATATTCTAAGAGTCCAATTAATAATTTTTTTACCGAGTGGTAATTTAAATTGAGTACAAGGAAAAATAGCTTTGTGCGTATAATTTAGGATGAAAGTTAAAGGATATAGGAGAAGCATGGGATATACCTGGTTGACATCAGGCACCATTCCACCGGTGTACCTCAGTGTGTATTTCTCTCTCACATAGTAGTTGATCAACTGTTTCATTAAAGGGTTAAAGTTAGTAAATTATGTACATGTTATTCGAATTCGGATGTGAGTGCATGTTTAAATATGTATTGAACACGAATGTTACATACGTGTATTTTTAAGAAAATAAATGGAGAATTGGAATAACGTCGCTCGATAAAAGAATATATTTGAACCTTATCATATTCAGGGTTGTCAAATGTGGCTCTCAAGTTTCCAGGGGAGAACATTTTCCCTTCACCAATCTCATAGGTGTCCTTCACATGCTGCCATTTTCCTGATAAAATGCACCACTGAAGAACATCAATTTTCACGATTGCAAATTTTGATTAATAAAATGCTTTTGCAACTTCTAAATACCTTCATCAAGGAGGAGGAATTCATGGGTGCCGGGGACGTCCTTAAGTGCGAGAACGTATGTCGTTCGAGGACCGAAAATTCCCATCGCAGCGGCAACTTGGTCTCGTCCTGTTACACCGGTTAACTTGTCACCCGGCCAGACCCCAAATATGGTACCTACGGTGAAATTTGTATCGACAATACTAGAACCATCGAGCGGATCGAAAGCGACACTGAATCCACCTGTTACATGTAGTGATCAATTATAGTTGCACACGTTTCAGGTTTACTTGAACCCTAAGAAAACTAGAAAGGAAAAAATTGCAGACCTTCAGCAGGGCCTCCCATGTCTTGGAGCTCGGGAATTTCTTCGGAGCACGCGTACTTGCAGAAGTGCGAGTACGTCAAGGCCTATACGTTACAGATAATAACCGAGAAACCGTTAATTTCTAGAGAATTTCATTGAACACTTGGACGAAAGGATATCATTTTCGAACCTCGAAAAGAAGCTTGTTGGCAAGCATATCAACAGCAAGCTGCTCATCTCCAAAGGAATTGACACAAGCAGTGCCTCCACATGAAGCTGTCCTCACTTTGAAAGCAATTGTTCTCAATGCT